AAATTATTAAATGAAGAAAATTTACAGACAAATAGAAAAAAATAGAATAATTGGCAAACAGATATTTTATATATATATATATATATATATATATATATATATATATATATATATATATATATATATATATATATATATATATATATATATATATATATATATATATATATATATAATATATATATAGTAGACAGATAGATAGGTATCGAGAGAGTGTGCCATTAATATATGTATGTACACATTTCACACACACACACAAAAGAGATAGATAGGTAGACAGATGGATAGATAGATAGACAGACAGATAGAGAGAAAGGCTGAGAGACACTGGAAGATCAAAATACAGAGGAAAAGTGAGAACAGAAAAAGCCAACACAAGGAGGACAGGGCGCAGACCAGAGACAAGATGGCGTGATGAAATAACGGAATTCTGTAACAAATATGCAGGTCTGTTTTTAAAGATAATCACCAATTTCATGATTATGTGTTGTTAATCCGATTACGAAAATGCTAGAGAAAGAGAGAGAGAGAGAGAGAGAGAGAGAGAGAGAGAGAGAGAGAGAGAGAGAGAGAGAGAGAGAGAGAGAGAGAGAGAGAGAGAGAGAGAGAGAGAGAGAGAGAGAGAGAGAGAGAGAGAGAGAGAGAGAGAGAGAGAGAGAGAGAGAGAGAGAGAGAGAGAGAGAGAGAGAGAGAGAGATGAGAGAGAGAGAGAGAGACTAGAGAGAGAGAGAGAGAGAGAGAGAGAGAGAGAGAGAGAGAGAGAGAGAGAGAGAGATAAATGCAAAACTATTTTGATCACAATTACCTCTGATATTCTGAATATTAGCGTATTTATTATTATTATTATATTTAAATCATGATAGACAGAATCATATCCCTAATCCCCCTCTCTGTTTCTAACACACACAAATATCCAAAGGAATAATTGCATTGCAAACAAAATTCAAACAAACTGCAAAACCTGCAACTTAACAATCCCAGACAGCAAATAATATACTATCTAAGATCCTTTTGACTTTTTTTTCCATTTCATAGCCATAAATATACTAATTCTATTAACAAGCTGATTAAACCAAATATTATTATAAAAAGCACTTCTATTGCGAGCTGAGGTTTAAAAATTTAGCCTAGTGTCCGTGTTCTGATAAAACTAGTTGTTTGGAAAGATCAGACTTTTTAGCATGAAACTCAATCAAATGTACTGGGGGTGCGTGAAATATTCAATTTTGAAAATACGTTATATGAATATGCTATCAGCTATGGATGCAGATGGCGAGGGCAGAGTCAGGGGGAAAACGTGTTGATGTGATACGTAGCGTTCGATCTGGTAATAGATGAAAAGTGCCTCTAATTTTCTCGTTATGTCCAACACATGTAGTGTTTACGTTGTTGGAAAGTAAACCTATTCCGCAGACACACTACAATCACTAGAAAACACTGGAAATAAACAAACAATTTTCTATATAAATGAACATAAACACACAGCACGCCAACGCGAACTAAGTTACGAACACTAAGCCAGGAGTCACAAGCCTCTCCTCCTGGCGACAATGGCTTGTTGAACTAGCTGAGGCAGTTTGATAATTAAAAGAACGAAACACGAAAGCAAAATAAACAGAGATGTTTATAAGATCAAAGACTATATAAGAAAGATAGGAAAGCAGGTCTCACACCGATTAAGAAAAATGTGAGATCCAAATCTTCATACAGCGCCATCTATTTTTCAGATATGTAACTAAGAAAAGAGAACGTTTATAGGGGGTCTATAAATTTATATAGGTTTTAAAATTTTTGTTTTACTTTTAAAGGTTTAGTTTCAGTTGAAGTTTTGCACTGTCCTTTTTAAATAAGAGACGAAATGTATCTATCAAAAGATTACTTTATATACATATATATATTCATAAATTTACATGGAATTATATACTTATTCTGTTCTTTAATAACTTTTTTCCTTATTAGAGATTTACATACATTAAAATAAGGTTTTACACAGTTTTTTTCAGAAAATTCAAATAAAACATTATTAATAATTATTAATAATTTTTTGCATGACATAATGAAATTATTCCATTGTTTATATACTATACAATTTTATTGCAGAAAATATTTTTGTTGTTAATACAGTGAATATGAATTTAAATTCAATAAACTGTACAATTTATGAAATAAACAAATCTATTAAATAAACTCTACACTCATTCGGCATTAATGCATTCTTCATGTGTTTCATTAATTTTTGTTGCGTTATTAAATCTAGGATATTTAATACACATTCATGTAAAATATTAGTTTACTTGATTTCAGGTCATCATTAATGAAAGTATTAATGAAAGCAGGCCTACAGTTAAAACAACAAGGAGCATAAAACATGCAAAAACAACAACAACAACAACAAAAAACAATCCCTTTCCTACCGTTTCATGATAGTAAAACACAGACGATACATTGCCTACTCAACGCCATCTATTGTTCAGATATTACACTATCCGCCAACCGTTGGGGCTCACAGGCTTTTGCCATGCTCTCCTATCTTTCGTATATAGTCTTTGTTATAAGATGGAGCTCAAATAAGGACAAAAACACTCTTGATTGATAAAATGCTACTGTTTATAGCAAGGTCATGGAAATGTAAACGAGGTGGATAACGCCGTCTACTACATAGGGATGACAGAATTACAGACATACGAGTGCACACAAACACACATACATAATAGGCTTACACGCCCTTGCTCACGTTCACGCACATGCACACTTAAATCGGTTTGCTTCTCTCTGTATTTCGCTCTTCATATGATTATTGCATACAAGAGGAATTTTGTATTTGTGAATATATAAGAAATTCTTATGGAGGTATAGCATAAAATGGGAAAGTCAAACATACGAACATATTGTAATCTGCAGATAACAATACTGTGAATATCTGTGAATAGAAAAAAAATATGAAGCTAAGCATAAGAATAAAACATACAATAATGTTTTGATCTTGTATACATTTCACAGTTATTATTTTGTCAAAGTATATTCATGATATACCACGGGTTAGGAAAAAAATCTATAAAACCGGGTCGAACAAAATGATTAAGTAACTATTAAAAAGAAGTTATGTCTACGTTTTCTGTTATGCACAAGTCTAAAAAAGAAATGTAAGCGTAGACTTAAACATTGCGAGAATATTTTGAAATTATATAGTATTGAAACATTAAAGTGTTTCGTATTCATATTTACTATTATCAATCAATGTTAGTAGTGTTGTTATAATTAATCTCATTTTCATTGCCTTGTCACGCTATCGTTTATATTCATTAATTTCATTCTGATCAATCATAAAAACTAACAAAATTACTACTGCTGATAATAGTAATAATGGCGGTACTATAAATATTGGTATTGATACAACAGCAACAGTAGCAATGATACTGATAGTCTATCATGGCTATTCTAACTGTCATCTCATAAACTTAACTTGGGTTTGCGGATGATATCATAATATTTGCAGAAAGCGAGAAACAAGACGAAGGCCTACATAAATCAAATTAAGAAGGGAAAAAACTAAATGAAAATTGGGAAGAATGTTAAGATACGTAATGATACAAGAAATATGAAAGGAAAAATCGGCACTCACAGATGGTCAAGTTCAAAAAGTCGATGAGTACATCATTGTACGTACCTAGGAAGACTGATAACACCAGAAAAATAAACAAAGAGGCTGAGGAGAATAACTTTGGGATGGCAAAGAGTCGGTCACTTGAGCAAATTCCTTAAATACAGGAACAAACCAGCATGCCCGAAAAGAAAGATTAAGAATGTTGTCATATTACCATCAATGGCATACGCAGAAACATCGGCCCCAACAAAACGCCAAGAACAGACACTATCAGCTGCGCAAAGAAGTATGGAAAGATCGATATCAAATTTTACAATGAAAGGCTGAACAAGAAACGAAGAATTGAAGAAAAGAACAAGAGCGAAGGATATCATAAAGGATTATACAAGAGGGCAGGACGCCTCGCCGGAACAGGAGGCACCGGGTGGGACAAAACGACGTCAGAATGGAGGCCAAGAGGTACGAGAAGACCAGTGAAGAGGAGATATCAAAGTCCTGTTCAAGTTTGTTCCAATGTTAGTGGACATCTTTTTACTTTCTTCCTTTATTTCTGTGGTTCTAAGGCGTAGGAAAAAATATGTTTGCCTCCCGTTGTCTTTATTGAAAATGATTCCTTGTTCGCAACAAAACCACAAATGGCCACCGAGATAGAGCTACCACCTACACGTCCGCTTCTTTCGCCAGCCAGCGACCCTCTGCCTCTAGAACGGTCAGCGAGCTCTGCCTCGGCGCGACACGACTGAGCATATGGGTACAGAATATTGCGCGAACAAGAAAAATAACACTATTCTGAATACTATGTCCTCCTGTAGTTCCTTGTACTGGCTGCGGGATGTTCTGTAATCCCTAAAATGAATTTGTATCTCCATAAGAGCAATTTAAGACATTCGCTTGTCAAGGGTTGAAGTAGTGTTGTGTATTTTTTTTTTTAGAAATTGTTCTATTCATTGCATGATGCTGAACGGCGCTTTCCTCGATCTTTTTTCTTTATCTGTAGAGTTACGGTTCGTGTCTAGGGATTATTTCTTGTATCAACGACTACTTTTTCTATCTCTTTAAGAATATTATCTACAGTTTGTCTTACCTTAGTGCATCCATTCCGTAAAGATTCATAATGCAAAATAACGTGACATGTATGAGAATGCTCGTGTGATTCCGGGGACCTTACTCGGAAGGCGCCATGTTTGTTTACGTCCGACCATTTGCATTCGGAAAGTCCATCCGGAAACGCAAAAAAATGATGAGAAAAGTGATAACGCGGTAGACCTTTCATGAATTTTACCAGAACCGGTTCAAGGGCTCTGTGAACCGCTGCCTGGGGTAATGTTGCAATGTCCGCTGATAAGAGATACAAAGGGGAGGTGTGTGTGTGTGTGTGAGAGGGGGGGGGGCGTGGCTGGGAAGAGACACATAAGAAGGGGGAGCGAGCGAAGGTTCCCACACTTACATTATGGTAGTTTTCGGGCCCCGTCTTGTTTCATTTCTTCTCATAACCGTTGCCTGTAAGTGCCCTTTATTGGTTTAATTCAGTTTGTGATAATTGATATAGAAGTATATTTTCCTCGCGACCTGAGAATGATTTTTTATGCTGTATTTCTTTGTTGTAATTTCATACACACACACACACACACACACACACACACACACACACACACACACACACACACACACACACACATATATATATATAAATATATAATATATATATATATATATATATATATATATATATATATATATATATATATATATATATACAGATACAGAGAGAGAGAGAGAGAGAGAGAGAAGAGAGAGAGAGAGAGAGAGAGAGAGAGAGAGAGAGAGAGAGAGAGAGAGAGAGAGAGAATATAAAGAGAACCGATGAATTTTTGAGTAAACCGAGAAGAGTATGTATTAGTATGTTGTGTATGCTCTTGAGGCGTAGTAGGGTCCGTTAATATTCTTCAGGTAGCGTTTCGGGAACGAGCTGCACAAAACCGTAACTGGAGTATAAAATATAGAATAAAAGGATGCAATTTCAATCATAACAGTCGTTGAACGTAAAACAAGAAACCAATAAAAAAATACTACATCCATTATAATTCATCATGATTATTAAACCTCGTTGTCAACCAGTTTGCAGGGCAGCCAACCTCCCCCCCCGTGCCCCTAGGGATGCTAGACTCTCCGTCGTGCCCCCGAGGGAGATAGGCGTGGGTAGCGTCCTCTCCGGCCCCAGGGTTCTCCTTGAGGGCGAGAAGCTCTACCTCCCTTGCATCGCCGTGGGGGAGTACACCTCCTGCGGCTGGAACGACCCTCATGTGAGTTTTTGTCTTTAGGAGGTTTAATATATAAGTCTTTGCTGTACGCACACACACACACACACACACACATATATCACACACACACACACACACACACACACACACACACACACACACATATATATATATATTATATATATAATATATATATATATATATATATATATATATATCTATATGTCTTTGTGTATATGCATATTAAGTCTACATCTCCCTCTCCTCCCTCAAACAAGGACAATATTTACTACCCGTCTGAGCTGGACCCCGAGGGCGACATCGCCCCCCTTCCGGGCTTCAACTGCGGCATGGTCGTCAAGGCAGCGAGCGTCGAGCAGCACTCCGGACACTGGGTCTGCGTCGCCACCACTGACCACGGCTTCGATTCCGCCGGCTCTGACGTCACTGTCCGGCGTGAGTGAAGTTTCAGTTGGCAGGCTTTTGAGGAAAGGAGTTAAATGGCCTCAGGAAGGGTTGCAGGGGGGTTAATTGTTATATTTGTATATATATCACGCTCAAAATGCAATTCAGAGGCGCCGCCCTGAAAAGGTGACGCATGTACATGCACCCACTATATTTAAAGGGAATGCGAGATTTCAAACCGTGCCCAATCGCCTCTACTCTATCATAGCCTTCCATAGCTCCCTCGATCATCTCCCTAACCCACTCCATTGTTTAGGGATGTTTAAGGGGTCTATAAGGGGTATACGACTACTCAAACCATATCCATTCTCATTTACTCTGTGATAGCTTTCCATAGCACCCTGGATCACCTCTGTAACCCTTGCCGTTGTTTAGGGGTGTATTTAAAGGGTCTATAAGGGATATGAAAATTTTCATACCATACTCAGTCTAATTTAGTAATTTACTCTGTGATAAGTTTCCATAGCACCCTAAATAAACCTACAACCATCTACTGTTGCTTCAATATTTAAGCAGCATTTTAGGGGGTTCTCACGTTCTGACCCCTAATAGGGACCCCTTATCGGAACGCCACATAGCCAAAGCCACACAGGACCTTGAGACCTTTCTAATGTGCCCAAGAACTCCCCCCAGCTCCTTGTGGTTGCTGAGAAAAAGTGAACTTAAGTAGGTCTCTGGGTATGGTTTTACAGTATGAAAGTTGTTAATATATAGCTCTGTGGCCGGCCCCCTTGTTTTCGGTTCAGTTGGATGGGGATTGAATGTTTTTTTATTTTTTTTCGGGGCGGGGGCTCTGGCCAGGGTGCGAATCTATATCAGAGGTTCACAGCCATTTTCATTCTGTGGCTTCTGACCAATATATAATGATATCCAGGGACATCATCTTTTCAGATTCAGTTATTGCTAGTTATGAATAGTGCAATGGTGTCAATGGCTATAGGGCAAGAACACTTAATGGAAAAAATCCCATTTATAAATATGAGAGATAATTATATGTAGGTACTGTAGACGAGATAAGATCCAGTTTAATTCGACGTCAAAATTGTCATACCGCTCCATGGCCCCCCAGGAAGTACCTCCCTTATCTATATCATAACCCAGCTTGTGTATCGTCCATCCGTTTCCACGTTACCCTCACATCTGATCCCTGAAAGCATATTCCATGTGACTACGGACACTCACCTCTCACACTCACGCACTAACCCATGACAATCCTAGTAAATCACTCAGTTGCTATCATTATCATTTATGCGTGTAACAAAAAAGTTATCTAGATTGTTGTCAGACAGGCACACGGTATCAGTGCCGGGTGCGTGGAATCGCCCAGGTGTGTCTGAAACAAGAACGAAAATGTGTTCCCTGATAACAGCTCATTATGAAAGATATCGTTTAATCAACGACTGAATGGACAATTGAAGGTCTGGTATACTGATCAAGTTATAAGTCTTGTTTCGTTGTAAGATGTTAACTCAAGATGCAGGACGATAACCGTGATAGGGAATGAGAGCACACACACACACGCGCGCACATGGAAAGAGAGAGAGAGAGAGAGAGAGCGAGAGAGAGAGAGAGAGAGAGAGAGAGAGAGAGAGAGAGAGAGAGAGAGAGAGAGAGAGAGAGAGAGAGAGAGAGAGAGAGACAGACAGACAGACAGACAGACAGACAGACAGACAGACAGACAGACAGACAGACAGACAGACAGACAAACAAAGTGGCCCAGAAAAAAAAATAGAGGACAAACGAAATCCATAGAAAATATCACACGCACATCAAAACACGAATCGGAAACCATTCAAATATTCCAAATAAGGTCTTAAACGCCGCCTCCCCCTCCCACAGCCGCCTCGTCCTGGCCTGGTGTTGTCGCTAACATCTCCTCCCCACTGAACGGCAGGTGGGGGGAGTGGGGGCAGGTGGACATGTGCCCCCCCAACGCCTTCGCGGATGCTTTCGAAATCAAGGTAACTGAAGAAGAAAGAAAAAGGGGGAGGAGGAGAGGGAAAAAGAGAGGGAGGGAGAAAAAGGAGAGATACTGAGTAGATGAGAGAAAGAGAGCAAATAAGCGAGCGAGACAGACCAAGAGAGGGAGAGGAAAGCGAGAGAGAAAGGAGAGAGAAAGGGAGGAGGAGGGAGGGAGTGAAAGCGAGCGAGACGGAGAACGAGAGCGAAAGCGAGAGACAACAAAAGCGAAAGAGAGAGAGAGAGAGAGAGAGAGAGAGAGAGAGAGAGAGAGAGAGAGAGAGAGAGAGAGAGAGAGAGAGAGAGAGAGAGAGAGAGAGAGAGAGAGAGCAAAGAGAAAGCGAAAGGGGAGACAGAAAGCGAAAGCGAGAGACGGAAAGGGAGAAAGAAAAAGGGAAAAAAATCCTTTTCCATTCAATTACATTTTTTCCCCTTTTCTATTTCTTGCTCCTCTTCCATTATTTCTCCAATTTCCTTCAATCACACCCCTTTCTTTCATCCCATTACCCGTCCCCATTCATCTCCTTCTTTATCCATCCATTTCATTTGACTCTTTGTTTATTCATCAATCCATCTGTCAGACTATTTGTTCATCATTCACTCCATTTGTTTCCAATCCATCCGTTTGTTTATTTATCAATCCGCCCATCTATTTGTTTATCCATCCGTCTAATTTCTTTATCCATCCAATGATTAATTTATTCATCCATCTTAATAATTGTTTATCCATCAAAAATGTTTATCCATCTATCTGTTTGCTCATCCATGTCTATTTGTTTATCCATCCATCTTATTTGTTTATCCATCCGTCTAATTTCTTTATCCATCCATCTAATTTGTTTATCCATCCATCTAATGTGTTTATCCATTTATCTGTTTGTTCACCCATCAATCAATTTGTATATCCTTCCATCAAAATTATTTGTTTATCCATCCATCTTATTATTTGCTTATCCATCAGTCTATTTGTTTATCCATAAAATAATTTGTGTATCCATCCAACTTATTATTTGATTATCCATCAAAATTATTTGTTTATCCATCCGTCTTATTTGATTATCCATAAATCTATTTGTTTATCCATCAAAATTATTTGTATCCATCCATCTTATTATTTGATTACCCATCAGTCTATTTGTTTATCCATCCATCCATTGATTTGTTTATCCATCCCTCTAGTTATTTGTTTATCCATCCCTCTAGTTATTTGTTTATCCATCCCTCTAGTTATTTGTTTATCCATCCCTCTAGTTATGTGTTTATCCATCCATCTATCTATTTGCTTATCCATGTTGCTTATCCATCCCTCTAGTTATGTGTTTATCCATCCATCTATCTATTTGCTTATCCATCAATCTATCCTTTTATCCATCCATCGCCTCGCAGTCTGAAGCCCCGACGACAGGAGACAACACAGCAGTGAATGGGTTAACGATGGCGTGTAGACAGCAGGGAGGTGGTCTGCCTGCTCGCGTTACTTCTGACGGCGGAGATTTCGGCACATGGCGAGGTAGGCGCTGCTCGGTAACTTATTCCAATACCTCGTGCGTGTATTGTCTGTCTCTGAATCTTTGTCTGTCTGTCTGTCTACCTCTCTCTGTCTGTTTCTTTCTGTCTCTCTTTTTGGCTCTCTTTTATCTCTCTCTCTCTCTTCTGGTCATTGTGCTTTGTTTATTTTCGTTGTGTTTTCTAGGTTCCCCTCCCCCCCAGTATCTTTTTATTCATTTTTATGCAATAACTTCATACCTTACGGTTGAACCTGCCTTGTGTCTGAATGCAAAAGGACGTTTTCTCCTTCATATCAAACTTTATCTCTTTTCATCTTCAACACTTGGCCACTTGTTCTTCCTTTTCTTCCCTTCTTTTGCATTTTTATTCATTTTTTTTCTCCACGATGTTTTCATATCTCAGGAGAAAAAACATGCCCTGTGCCCGAATACATAAGGAAGTTTTCCCTCCGGGTTGAGCCAGACCAGGGCGACCTCGGGGATGACACTGCCGTTGGTGATATGAAGGTCATCTGTACGAACTACCCGGAGGTAATGTGAGGTCCTTTTTCTGTCCGTACGAATGGATAGTGTACTTTAAAGGACTTAGAGGATTCCTTTTCGGTTTTTGGTAGGGATTCTCCTTTTTCTCTCTTTAAATTCTGGGAATATTGTAGGGTGGACTTTTCTTGGATTCAGAAGATGAGGAAAGAATGAAAGGAAAATGTAACTCGTTTTAGAGTAAATCCTCTAATCTAACACTAATTCCCAACACGTTTTAGTGAATGGACACGTATCACATGAAATTTGCTCTTCCTCCTTGTCCAGAACGAGATCGAGGGCGAGGGCGAGGAATGGGGATTCTGGGGGCCATGGGCGGAATGTCCCCCCGATACGGCGGTGTGTGGGCTGCAGACACGCCTTGAACCCTACAAGGGCGTGATGGACGACGATACCGCCCTCAATGACATCCGGGTCTTCTGTTGCCCTTTGGTTTGGTGATGACCTAGTACGACCTTCTTGGGTGACCTAACCCCTCCCCCTGATGAGCTACTGGAGTAACTGTGTTGTCTGATTGACTTGTTTTTTGAGCTGGTGCGATTTTCTGGATGAACTATAACTCTCTTGCGCGGTGACAGCAACCAGGATGTAATATCATCTAACATTCGAAGTTACCCCAACCTGTATGGTGGCTATTCCCCAACTTGCTGGTCACACAAGGGTGTTCATATCGCTGAACACGCTCGATTTTAGGCAAGTCAGGTTCTTAATCTCGACAAACTCCCCTTTGAAACTCCGCGCGTGTAAGGAATGTCATCATTCTTTACACGGCATAGATATAATAACCAAAATTTAGAAATGTATGAGGATATGAAATACAATATCCATATTAGAAGTATTGCTTAGAATATATGATAGATATTACATGAGAACTTGTGTCAATTCCAAATGACCCAGACGGTGTTATCCATCCACCAGCAAAGTTACTGCACAAAGTGGTTTATGCCAATTTAGATCCTCTTTTTCAGTTTTGATGTATTTTAGTATCTTCTTTTATTACAAGCATCATTATTTGTATTGTCTACAATCTCCTATCCATCTTTTAGTGTATTACGGTTTCTTTATTATATTCACTTTTAAGCAGTAAATATTTGTATCTACACTTTCTTTTACTCTTAATATTTTCTCTAAACTGAAATTTGATGCATTTTACTTTGTAATAAGCCAATACCTGCTCCTGTATAAAATTATATTCTAATTAATTCCTAAAAGGAAGTTGTTTACATTGTCTATCCCCAACGCATATAAAGGGGACCATTAGTGGAAAAAACGAGCGTCAAGTCAAGCAGGTGTTTGTGTGCTCCTCCCCGTGGATCTTAGTGATTTACGGACAAAATGGAATGCGAAAGATATCTGAGCTTTATTCCTGCCAGTGTTAGGGGAAGCTAACACTGGCAGTGTGTGTATATATATATATATATATATATATATATATATATATATATATATATATATATATATATATATATGTGTGTGTGTGTGTGTGTGTGTGTGTGTGTGTGTGTGTATGTGTACATGTATACATATGTATATATTTGTATATCATTAACATAAAAAAAAAAAAAAAACGGGAAACGGAATGGAGACCCTCACGTCCATACTACCAGTATCTTTCCATGATTTTACTTGGACATAAATAAATCGTTCCCCTTCTTTAATCTTCATAACTTTCCTCTCTTAAATAATAATTTCATTCTTAATTTATTTATTGGTACTTCTGGAACTGTCACCTATGACTAATTCAATTACTGTGCACAAGAAGCCGAGGTGCTCGTTGACAGAATTAAGATTGTGTTTGTCGTTTTTACATTGATGAGAAATGGTAATGTGGGGAAATTTCATGTTTTATGTCAGAAAATGTAGTTATTTCCTTAAACTGAAGCTTCTTATTGTTTTAGATGTTCATTTAAGAGAGGCAGGCATGGCCCACGAACGATCCTTTCCATCTTGTTTCCTGTACACACAACATAACTATTTTTTCTTCAAATCACATTTCCTTTATTCTAACCGATAATAGAATCCCTACCCCATTTCTGCTCTGCTCGTTTGATCCACTTAAGAACAACTTAAAACCTCCTCCCTGCTTCCTTGCTTTATTCCCTTTCCATCTTGTTTCCTGCACACACAGCACTGCTATTTTTCTTCTTTCCATTAAATCTGCTGCCTCCCTGCCTTTCCTGGTCATTGTTCCTACACCGTGTGTTCCCACTCTTACCCTCACCTTTGGTTTTGGAGCTAGCGTCTTTGGCCGAGTCAGCTCCAGACTCGGTAGCCCTCGAATTATGTTTTACAACCGAATGCCGTTTCAGACGCCAACCCTCTCCATTTTTACGGGCTTGGGACCGTCACCCTGGGGTGGGTGTATATGTATATATATGTATATATATGTACATGTATATATACATACATACATATATATATACATATGTATATATATATATATATATATATATATATATATATATATATATATATATATATATATATGGTATTATTGGAAATGCAATCCCACACCTAATTTAAAGAATCTGAGCTCACCAAGTGGTAGAACACATTCTATGAAAGTTTTCTTCTATACCATTTTTGCGGAAAATAATAATAACTGTGTTGTAGAGAGTAAAAAATCCGGCTTCCAGGAGCCGCAGTAACCTTCCGCCTCCATCGCCGCGACAAAAGGACAAAAGGTCGTTGAGAGCGACGGAAAATCGGACGGAATTGCCGCGGATGATGTATGCGAGGGAAATCGAATGAGCCAATTAGATTCGTGCGTAAGCGTGACGTGAACACAGACACTCAATAGAACCAATCGGATATGAAATAGATCATTGCGTGACAAAAGCTGGGCCTAGTTGAAGGCAGTTGAAATTCAAATCAGTTCCATCACGAGTAAACAGTGTGTAGGGTGTGAGAATAATCATTTCGACTTCATCGAGAAATGTCTCTGAAATAACGAAGGAAGCTTACTATACCTACAATGCCCTCACCGTAAGACACTGTGCCATTACAGAAATGACAGACACCACTGGGTTTGCGGTGGATGGGAAAGGGTACAAAGAAAGCGGCGTAACTTTACTGTAAGCGATCTCACTTCTCGCCAACAATGACCTGGAATACCCCAACGATCCCGGTGACCCGCAGCCTGGCCCGTCTGGTGTTAATGTTTAAGGTAAGATGTGCTTAAAACTGTTCCTGGGTCTAGGGTCTCTCCTGCTGGAACAAACGAGGTGAGGATTTTGCAGACCAGGCAGGGGGTGGGGGGCGGCAGACCCCCCCTGAAAGGGGGTTTAAGGGGGCAGAACCACCTATACAACCCGGATATATGTTAATATATCAGGGTTGTCAGATACCTGTTTCGTCCGGGCTCTATCCTCCCAGAACATGCGAGGTGAAGATTTTGTAGACCAGGCGGGGGTGGAGGGCCATAGACCCCCCTTGGAAGGGGTTACATGTTAATATACTATGTTAGTATTCTACCGATATTTCTCAAAATTACCCCCACATTCACTGATATGTATCATGCCCTCCCTAGCTATCGGGACTTATATCGTAGTTATGCTTCGTTTGCGAAGAAAATGAGAGCTAGATTCGTTCGCAACTCGACGAAAGTTATTAGAAGATTACTCTATTCACCCAAAAAACGGTGTGGGGTTGCATTTCCAAATTTACCTATGGTATTATATATACATACATATATATATATATATATATATATATATATATATATACATTAAATATATATATATATATATATACATTATATATATATATATATATATATATATATATATATATATATATATATATATATATATATATATATATATATATATACACACACACACACACACACACACACACACACACACACACACACACACACACATATATATATATATATATATTATATACATATATATAAAATATATATATATATACACACACACACACACACACACACACACACACACACACACACACACACACACACACACACACACACACACACACACACACACACACACACTCACACATTAGTGGAAATAGAATACCCACAAGCAATGCAAGCAACACCATTAGAAATTTATCCATAAATTAATATTAAACATGGCAGAAAGACAAGCAATTGCACAAATCAGTCGACAGCCTTACGAACATGAAACAAAACATGGCACTCGCGCTAAGATGCAGAAAAAACACGCCCATGGAAGAGTAGTCAGCGTAGTCAGCTACAAGGAGATCAGTGACCAAGCTGTCCAGGATACGAATGCACAACCTGCAAATCAAGTAGGAATCAAAAGGTAGGCCTATAGATAAGTACTAACGTCAGTTTCTGAGAGGCAGACTGAGCTAAATCAGGTCAAACACGAAATAACATCAAAACAATGTATAAACAGTAGCTTAACTCTCTTAATCAGCAGCACAGATTGGTGTTTTGAATTCCATATTATTATTATACTAATTATTGAGTTATTTTACTTTGTACTTTCAAATGATTGTATAACTCAATAAGAAATATTGTGTGGTAGCAGGTGGCGAGAGGTCGAGGCAAACATCGGAGTGAACAATTTATTCATTAAATGACAAAGATGGAGTCGTATGTGATTTCAATTCTATCTCTGCTGTGCCTTAGGCTATAAGAGTGTACATAAAGCGTACTTAACTA